TTTTTTTCAGGTGAATAAGACTAGTTTCAATTATTTCTTATGGTTATTGTGCAGATTTTCTATTTTATGGAATTTTTAATTTTCTTGTAATGTGGAAGGCAAGAAATTATATCTTGTGAATCTTACCATTTCCACCACATTGGATGTTTTCCCCTGCAAAAAATTCTGCTGAGGTGCTGAGCATTTGGTATTAATACAAATCTCCCAATCTGAAATAAGATGAAAACAAAATTTAATTTCTTGAAGAAATAAAATATAAAAGAAAGATATTAATGCAAGACCAATGCATATATATTTTCAAACACTGCCTTGAAATATAGTTTTTAAAAAAAACAAGAAAAAAAGGGAAACAGATTGAAAAACTTGGCTGTAATAAGAGATTGGCAACAGTAAGGTGCTGAGTCAAACTGGTAAGTGATTTACCAAGTAATGATTCTCTAAATGTTGAGACTGATAGTGAACAAAAAACAGGCATAGCCAGGGAAACAAAGTTGAAAGGAAATGGATAAAGAGCTAAATGCGAATGATGAATTTAAAGAAGAAATGGGAGAGATCTTACTGTCAGGCCAAAAGAAAGTTTCAAAGATGGATGAAAGTGAAAAAAAAAGAGAAGTCTAAGTTACCCAAGGAACCTCAGAAACCAAATGGCCTCAATATTCTCAGAAAAAAAGTGCATCTTCAAAAGCTTCTTACTTAACATTTCCAAATGGACTGCACCTCTCACTGATTAGGCTTATTTCTCATAAAGAATCACATCTGTCTTTTCCCTCACCTTGGAGAACTTTCTCCATTGTCCTTAGCTCTTGTCCTTGTTCCACCTGAAAAATCAGACCAGGTCTCCATAGCTGGTGCCCTGCTCTCAGGGAAAGATGAATGATGTAAGAAGAATGTGCAAGGGATGACAAGTATCTCCATAAATCAGGGGCCAAGATTCTGCTTTTCAGACATTCTGAACACTGTCAGGTATAACTTGGAGAAACAACAAAATGTTCAGGCCAAAACTCATGAACCAGTAAACCTTCAAATGAACCTAAACTGCAAAGACTCTCTCTGTCATTGTGTACCAAAAAGACAGGCTATCCTTCCCCTGAAACATAGGCTTAAGCTTGTATACACATTTAAGATGCCCTAAGTCTTTTCTTCATAGAGAAAACATAGCCAGTACAATGAACAGATCTTCATTTTCATGAGGAAAATACAGTTACTTAAGAAATATTTGTTCCAGAAAAAGACTAAATGAAGGAATGGTACCAGCCTTACCTACTGCAACTAGATTCCTGTAGTTCTCCAGCATCACATCTCTGTATAAGTTCCTCTGAGTTGGATCCAGCAAAGTCCACTCCTCCTGGGTGAAGTCCACAGCCACATCCTCGAAGGTCACTGAGTCCTGAACCATCACACACATGCTGGCATCAGACAAGTACCTTCTCCATCATGTTCACTGGAGAAGGAGGGAGCTGACGTCTTGACAGGGTTCTGTGGTCTCCAGCACTCGACAGTCCTCAGTCCTCTTATCTCTACATACTCACTGGTGATCTTATCTAGTCACACGGCTTTACGAGCACCAACTGAATGTAACTTACCACAAATGCACCTCACCGCAACTGGACTGGGACCTCTTCTGGCCTTATTTTTCTCTATTGACAGATTTTAGTATTAGTCCTGAGCACATTACAGATACTGAAACGAATGCTCCAGCAACACAAATTCTCTATGTAGATGCTCACTCTCTCCCTTACTGTCTATCATAGCAAAATGAAAGCACACAGCTAGCATGGGTGAGAGTCAGACTGAATTAGTAAATAACAGGATAATAGTATCCCTATGTAATCTTCTTAACCACATGACAGGCCCTGTCACCTGAAGAAATCTGACTAGAGACTTACTCCCTAAGCAGGCCCTATTTGCTTGAAGGAGCTCTGTTCCACTAGAAGGAAACACATCTACTTGGTAGGAAGAAACAGATGCTTCTATACAAAAATCAATTTCCTACTTACCTGAGAATAATTTGTTGACCACCCAGCCACCATCCTTTCCTCTTCAGATCTGGCCCCATGAAGACAGAAAATGTCTGGAGAATGATCTTAAGAAGAAGGGAAAAAACCCTGAGAACCCAGGCTGCCCACATTTTAAGCCTGGAAACCACTTTACACTAATTCTAAGTGAAAATACACACACACACACACACACACACACACTTGCCAAAATGCCCGAGCAGCCTGTCCCACCTGATGCCAGAAAAGGTGCTTTAGGCTTTGATAACCAGGACAAAGATTATAATAATCTCATTTTATAGACAAAGAAATGAAGGGTTATGGCTTTTTTTTTTTTTTTGAGACAGAGTCTTGCTCTGATATCTAGGCTACAATACAGTGGTGGTGTCACAGCTCATTGCAACCTCAAACTCCTGGACTCAAGCAATTCTCCTGCCTCAGCCTCCCGAGTAGCTGGGATTACAGGCGCACACCACCATGGCTAATTTTTCTATTTTTTTGTAGAGATGGGGGTCTTGCTCTTGCTCAGGCTGGTCTTGAACTCCTGGCCTCAAGCAATCCTCCCACCTTGGCCTCCCAGAGCACTCGGATTACAGGTGTGAGCCACCATGCTCAGCCAGACTTTTTTATTTTTGGCCAAAAATGACAAAACTCATGTGATTTAAGTAGAACCTCCTCCACAGAAGCAGGCATGCTTACCTCTCCTTCCCAAATTCCAGGATTTAGACAACAGAATATTCATATCTATGTTAGCATACCACCTACCCCCACCCCTGGTAACTCAGAAGCAGGGCTACTTAGATCCTAGACCTGATCATAAGACAAGTTGTTCACAAGCTAAAGTAGGGTCTCAAGGGAGCATCACAAAGGACTTACCACCAAGGGAAAGATCAATGGCTGGCATCCTGTGAGTCTGATGGTAAAATTTGCCTGATCATCTTGTTCCCAAAGTCTCTTCAAGACAGGGTCTGAATTTATGGATAGGTCAACCTCAATTCCTCTTGATTAAGCAGTAATGAGACTCTTGCCTCATCTTGTCAATCTTTAAGCAGTAGGCATTATTCATCTCTCACAAAGCATCGTTCATTAGTCATCTCTCCGCAGAAGATGAAGTTATTCCTGGGAATGCCGTCGGAAACTATAGAACACAATGCCACATGGATATAAATACATAAATAGCAACTGCCATTTACTGAGTATCCATTATGTGCCAGAAACAGTGGTAGGATAAGTTCATATGATTTATCAAAGCAATTTTTATTACTGTCATTCAATAGTTGAGGACACCTAAGCTCAGACAATAATAGTAATTGATCTAACAGCACCAATTAGGAAGTAGTGAGCTAGAATTTGAATGCAGGTTACTTTGACTCAAAGCCTAAAATCCTAAGGTCGTTGTTATTCTCCAACATGACCAGAAGACGGTCATGAAATGATGCGCAGAAAGGATAACCCAATAGGCCTAGGTTGCCCTAAACCTACACTTTCCTGAGAAAGGTTTGTCTTCAGGACTGACCCTGGTTCAGTTCGGGAGATGACCTCTGAGCCCATGGAATATCTTGTCCAATAAGTGCTTCAGGTTCAAGACCTGAAATAGTATGCGTCACGTCTTGAACCACACTACTAGTATTGCCAGTTTGTGCTAATGGTATGATTTATGTGGAAAACCTGTTTTTGTACAACTGAGGCACTGGGCAACAATGAATGAGGTTGAACTTTGGAAGGCTAGGTCTGAGAGGATGAAGTGAGTCACAGAGGCACTGAATGCCTACATGACTAACCCTCAATAAAAACCCTGGACACTAAAGTTCAGGTGAGCTTCCCTGGTTGGCAACACTTCTCATGGATGTTACACACTGTCACTAGAAGAATTAGGTGCTGTCCATGTGACTACACTGGGAGAGGACACCTGGAAGCTTGATTTCTTCCAACTTCAACCCATGCATCTTTTCCCTGTGCTGATTCAATGTGTATCCTTTGTTTTAATAAACTATAATCATGATCTAATAGCTTCTGAGTCCTGTGAGGGCTTCTTGTAAATCACTGAGCACAAGGATGGTCTTGAGGACCCTCAACACAAATGGTTTACTGAATTCACACATCTTTGAGCTCCTCCAGCTGGCAAAGCCACATAGGCTGGGTTGCCTCCCTTCAAGTCCTTACCTCTGGCTTATGCCTTCATTCATTCTGCAAAGATTTATGAAGGGCCTTCTTTTTGCCAAGTAATATACCAGACACTAAGGAGAGAGCAGTCAACTATACAAAAAAATGTCCTACACCTTAGGTATCTCACATTCCAAAAGGCTAAGCAGACAAAACACATAAAGATGTACTATATCAGCTAATGATAAGTGCTATGGAGAAAAGTCAAGTAGATGAATGAATAAGGAATATCATCCCCTACTTCCCGCCCCTCCCCACCACAAATTTGTGTTTATAGACTCAGAACTGGTTCTGGGCAAGATAATGACAATAGGAAAATAACCATTTCAGAAGACACTTGAAAACTGACACCTGGCTTGCCTAAAACAGTGATATTCAACTTTTGATCCAAAGCATTATTTCCCATGGTTCACAAAATAAGCACAGAATACAACTCAAGTGCCCGTCTACTTCAATAGAGAAACACCAGAGTGTTCCCCTACACACAGATCTGACTCTCTCCCCTGTTAAAGCAAAATAAGCAAGAAGCCATTAGCCTGGGGTTGTTTCTGTGCCTGGACCCCTTACACAAGTAAACCAAAACTTGGAAGAATTGCTTGAATCTGATTAAATTTGAAAAAACAAAACGTACACTAAACCAAGCTTGAGCTAATCACAAACAGCCAACCTAGCTGTCTAGGGACTTTCCACTGGCTTACACCCAAATAAGGCAAATGCCTAGCTGCAGCCAATTAAATGATTTCTTTACTTTGCTTCCACATTCAGCCTATGAAACCCAGCTGGGCATACTGCTAAAGTTGAACTCCCCAAGCCTCTTCTGAGGTTCTGAGTGCTGACTCACTCATGAATCCTGTCATGCTTAAATAAACTGTTAAATTTATTTTGTGTAAAGGTTTTAACACCCCTAGGTCCTAGCAGAGGGTACAAAATGTATGGGTGGAGTGCCGAATCAGACATTACCCAAAATTTGTCTATTTTATATTTCTTAAAAACCCACTTCTTGGGTTTACTGAACAGTTTTACTTTTTTCCATTAAATTTTGCTTTTTTATTACTTTCTTATTTATCCTTTCTTTATATTCATTTTGATAATCTCTTTTAAACCTTTGGCAATTATACCTGAATTCCTTTTTAAAAATTTTATTGAAATATGTATTCAAAGCTAGGCGCAGTGATTTGCATTTGTAGTCCCAGCTACTTGGCAGGCTGAGGTGAGAGAACCATGTGAGCCCAGGAGTTCATGACCAACCTGGGCAAGAGAGTGAGACTCTTGTCTATTAAAAATATGTATATACTCAAAAAAAGGCAGAACAAATGTATAGCACATTATCATGAATTTCTACAGCCTGACACACTCATCATGCCACATCTAAATCATTACTCCTTTGTTTTCCCCAAATGGGAAGCACTATTCTGACAGCATAATTTTGTATGTTTTGAACTTTATGTAAATGAAATCATATGGTATGTATTAGTTTGTGTCTAGCTTCTTTCACTCGACATTGTATGAGATTCATTCACATTGTTGCATGTATGTGTAATAAGTTCTTTTCCTTTTACTAAAAACTACTCCATAATATAAACACAGGTTGAGGATCCCTAATCTGAAAATCTGAGATCCAAAATACTCCAAAATCTGAAACTTTTTGAGCAATGACAGGATGCTCAAAGGAAATGCTCACTGGAGCACTTTGGATTTGGGATGCTCAACTGGTAAGTATAATGCGAATATTCCAAAATGTGAAAAAATCCAAAATCTGAAACACTTCTTGTCCCAAGTATTTCAGATAAGGGATACTCAATCCATATATCACAATTTATTTATGCATTCTTGTATTGATGGACATTTGAGTTGCTTAATCTGGGGCTATATCAAATAATGCTGTGATATGGTTGTATTTAAGAGCATATTCCTATGTTCAAATTTAGTAGATAATGCCAAACTGCCTTTCAAAACACATTTCTACTTTACACCTTCCACCAGCAGTGTATGCAAATTCCAGCTTCTGTATCTTATTTTTAACACTATTGATATTGTCATTTTTTTGGCATTTAGCCATTCTGATGTATATGCAGCAGATTTAATTTATATTTTCCTGATTATTAATGAGGATAAAAAACTTTATTTTTCATGTTTATTATCCACTGGTACAGTTTTGTTAAGAGCCTATTCAAACCTCATTATTTTTCTATTGGACTGTTTGAACTTTTGGAATTAATTTATAAGAGTTCTTAATGTATTCTGGATACAAGTCTTTTGTCAGTTCCATGTGTAGGAATTCTCTCTTCTCATTCTAAGGCTTTCTTATGGGTATATTCTGATGAACAAATATTTTCAATTTTAATGTCCAGTTTATATATCTTTCCTTTATACTCAGTCATATTTATATCTTATTTAAGGAAGTACTTCCCAGCTCCTAAGGCCATGAAGACATTCTATGTTATTTTCTTGAAGTTTAGTTTGCTTTCACTTTGATGTCTAGAATCCACTTAAAATAAACTTTTGTGATGGATGTGAAGGTGGGGGTCAAGTTACCTATTTGAGGAGAAAAAATATCCATTCAATGAAGTTTCCTCACTGAATTATTATATGATTACTAAATGGTGATGTTTTAATTTCCTCACTCCTACATTTATTGGTTGGCATTCTATGTGGAAGGCAGTTAGTCCCAGGGATGTGACTTTTTAAAATCACATCTCTATGGAGAAAGGACCCCTCATCCTTGCAGCAAGGGCTGAGGAAATACCTCAAAGTTTGCCAGCCCCTTCAGCTTTATGTTGACTCCTCAAAGGGCAAAATCAGGACCTAAACAAGACAACTTTTTCCTTAACCTGCCTGAAACCAAACACAATCACCCTCATTCTCTGGACTGTTTAATTTCTCTCCTGCTTTCACCATTTGGTCAGGACCAGGTTCTTGAAGTCTCCTTAATTAGAATGCAGCCAACTGAAAACAATTCCTTTGCTCTGAGCCTGTGACTTTCACAGGAATGCTTAATGCAAATTCATAAGACCGAGAAGAATGCTTTAAGACTGCCTGATCTCCATGGATAGTGTTTTCTCTCGCCCTACCAGGGACCAAATGTATATCATTAAGTATAGGACAAGCCACTGGGGAAAGGTTGAGAACAGGAATTCAGGCTTAGCAGGCTCAATGGATGTCTCAACTGGCAAGCAGTATCTTGGATGTTTGGCCCAAGCTAGGGACCACCCACAATTTAGCTGTTCTGTATAAGAACAAATACACCTTGGTAAGATTGATTTGACACATGAAATACTTATTTTTTTCAATGCTAAGCCTCTGAGTCCAATTCCTTAATTTTCTATCCAAGAAATTAAAGCACTATACAGTTTTTGGGTTCTTAAAAATTTACCTTGACTTGACTTATATCACTTTACTGAAATCAGTCATTTTTTCCTATCAGTTCTATAATAAAGATTTATTTCCTCACTCTGCATTTTCTGTCAGTAAATGGATGGTAGTGTCAAACCTGCAATTAATCTTTGATGTACTCTCCTTCCCTCTCATACCAGAAATATAAATAACCAATTAATCAAAAGATCCATGACACTGTCTCTATGCAGAACACTTCTCATACCATACCACCCCTCCCCCAATCTCTAGCCCGTCTAACTCCTATGCCTTGCATTTTTGGTCTCAGTTTAAATGTTATGTCCTCAGCATAACCTCTGTAGGTTGTTTGTTGTTGTTCCCCTCACTACCATTAAAAAAAAATGTTTTGGATATTTTCTCCCAATATTACCCCCCTTTTCCAGATTCATCATCAAATTGAAATTATAAATTTGGTGAGATGTTTTTACATCTCCTCCTACTAGATTATAAACTCTAGGAGTGTAAGCCCAGGTCTAATATTTTCACTGTTCCTGCTATGGTTTGAATATTTGTGTCCCTTCCAAAATTCATGTTGAAACTTAATCCCCAATGCA